ACAGGGCGAGGCTGAGTTTAAATACCCTGCTAATGTCTGATCAGGGTCAGGTGCAGCACAGCCAAATTCAAGGTACAGCCCCCAGAGTGATAGACAAGCCAGGATGAACAGGACCGGAATGACTAGTGGAATACAAAAGCTGCTGTGGCTCAGAGGTAGGAAGCAGGACCAGGACTGCGAAGTTTCCCAGTTCAAGTCCCTTGTTGGGATCTCCACGGGTGACCACGTCTAGCCGTCTGTTTGATGTAGCGAGAACCGTGACAGTACCCTCCCTTCAATAACATCCTCCGGGTGTGATTAGGTTTGTAGTCATAACAGAACACCTCTTCAGGTTCACTGTCAGAATCAAGCGAGTCCCCATAGTCAAAGTCCTCAGTGTGGAATCCCTTTACAGCATGGGACTCCTTAGTACCAGCTTCTGGTACGGCTGGAGAACAGTCTTTCAGGACCTGGGTGCAGGTGGTAAGTACTTCCGTTACTTCGGCAGGAGCAATGTTCGTGCCTAAGAATGCTTTTTTGAACATTTCAAGATCTTCTGTACGGACTGTAGTGCCATTAGAAGCAATGGCACAATCCAAAGGAACATCTTCTTTGGGCGAGCAGGAAGTAGTGATGGTATCACAGGAAGTAACTTCGGGAGTAGATACAGGCGGCACTGGAGCAGGGGGTTTTCTTGTGGAAGCCAAGCATGGGCAAGAATAACGGCTTCTATGTAGCTTTTTAGGCTGGCATGCAGTGTATACAGGGTGGAGGAAAGAAGTACCCAGTCGGAGAGCTGGAGGTCTAGGAGGACGAACAGGGCAAAGTGTGATGAAATGCCCTCTTTCTCCACAGTAGTAACATAGGCCATGGCTTCTCCTTCGGTCTCTTTCCTCAGGTGTCACTTTGCAGTGAACAAGTCCTAATTGCATAGGTTCCTCAGGGTCGAGTGGAACACAGGATACCTCAGGAGTTTTCCTAGGAACAGGATCAGAAGGAGACATCACTGGGGTGTAGTGGTGGTACTGGGTTTCTTGGTTACGAAGAATCTGAGATTTTTTGGTACGTGGAGGTGGCTTGGTCACAGTGGTCTTGCATTGTGAGTCCATAGCGGTACTGAAGGATTCCCAGCTGACAAGGACAGGACTCTTTGTCTGCAACATTTGGTGAGCCCATACTTTGATGCCTCCAGACAACAGGTTGATAGCCGCTCGGACCTTGATGAAATCTGTGGCATATGTTCGAGGCTTTAAAGAAAACAACACCTCACAATCCATCTTAAAGGACTGAAAGGATGTGCGGCTATCATCAAAACGGTCGGGCATGATCACAAACGGTTCAGGATAAGCTGGTTCCGGGGCTGGACGTACTGCGCCTTTAAGAAATAAAATTTCTTGCTGCAACTCCAGAACAGTCTGGGCCAGGCTGGACACTGGTTGGGACAGGGGTGAGCACATCTCTGCGGACTCCATATTGATCAAGTCTTTTTGTCAGGGTCTTACCTGGGTTGGGAGTCTGTAGCGCAGATATGTTGCTCACCCTTGCAGATAGCCACAGGCCAAGGTGGTCAGGTAAGAATTCACCCGGCCTGTGGGTCTGTGCACGGGGGCTGTGCAGGATGAAGTACCAAGTCGCAGGACAGGCAAGGACTCAAACAACAGGATCGTCAAAGGATAGCCGAGGTCAAAGGATGCCAGAAGACAGGAACAACGAGGAGTAGCCGAAGTCAAGGGATGCCAGAGGTCAGAGTAAACGTAGTCAGAAGCCAGGGTCAATAACAAGTAGCAGCTCAAACAACAGGAACACTGGTACAAAGCACACAACAGGATCATAGACTTGATCCTGATCACAGGGCGAGGCTGAGTTTAAATACCCTGCTAATGTCTGATCAGGGTCAGGTGCAGCACAGCCAAATTCAAGGTACAGCCCCCAGAGTGATAGACAAGCCAGGATGAACAGGACCGGAATGACTAGTGGAATACAAAAGCTGCTGTGGCTCAGAGGTAGGAAGCAGGACCAGGACTGCGAAGTTCCCCAGTTCAAGTCCCTTGTTGGGATCTCCACGGGTGACCACGTCTAGCCGTCTGTTTGATGTGGCGAGAACCGTGACACATCCCTAGCGAAAAAACAAGCCAAAGGTCAGGAAATCCAAAAATACAAAATCACTGAGTGTTTACCAAGCTATAGTACAGAATAACTGAGCAATGTTAGCTCAGCTGTTCACAATTTAAATAGGGCGCTTATCTGTGGACATACCTATACTGACACGCAGGGCCGCCACCAGAAATTTTGGGGCCCCTAACTCAGCTCAGGGTCTGGGCCCCCTGGGGTCCGCCTCCAAATACCACAGGAATACACACACAGACACAAACACACACACACTGATACAAAAGGACACAGATACATACTAAAAGACACACATACTGAAACAGGTAAACAGGCATACATACTGACACACACATACTGAGACATGCACACATATACAGACACACAGGCATACATAGTGACAGACACATACTAACATACATACAGACACACATGCATGAGGACATAAAGACACATACATATATACATACATACACACATACATTCATACTGACATACATTCATAATGGCATACACACATACACACAGACATACGTTCATAATGATATGCAGACATACATGCATACAGACAGACATACATACATGCATGCATACAGACATACAGACATGCATACAGACTTACATACAGACAGATATACATACATAGACATACAGACAGACATATATACATACAGACATACATACATACATACAGACATAAATACACATACATGCATGCATACATACAGACAGACATACAAACATACATACATACAGACAGACATAAATACACATACATGCATGCATACAGACAGACACATACATATAGACATACATACAGACAGACATACAGACATACAGACAGACATACAGACATACATACATACACATACAGACAGACATACATACAGACATATATACACATACATACACATACATAGACATACATATACACATACATACAGACATACATACAGACATACATACATAGAAATACACACACACACAGACACAGCTCATTTTTCAGCCACCCTCCTGTCTTTTAACTTTTCTTTGCAGGAGTGTGGCTGGGGCTGATGGGAGTAGTTGGCACGGCTCTCCCTCACGGACGCGCGCGCTCTCCTCCCACGTGGAGTGAGCTGGGAGGAAGTGACCAATGGCATACAGACATACATACAAACACACAGACATATGTTCATAATGATATGCAGACATACATTCATACTGACTTACAGACATACATATACATATATAATGACATACAGACATACATATATACATACATAGACATACATACAGACAGACATACATGCATACAGACATACATACAGACAGACATGCATGCATACAGACATACATACATACATACAGACAGACATAAATACACATGCATGCATACAGACAGACATACAGACAGACATACATACAGACAGACATGCATGCATACTGACATACAGACATACATACAGACAGACATACAGACAGACATACAGACAGACATACATACATAGACATACAGACATACATACAGATAGACACCCTCCTGTCTCTTAACTTTTCTTTGCAGGAGGGTGGCTGTGGCTGATGGGAGTAGTCGGCACGGCTCTCCCTCACTGACGCGCGCGCGCTCCTCCCACGCGGAGTGAGCTGGGAGGAAGTGACCACTTACTCCCAGCAGCACTTCCTGTGGTTGCTTTTTTTTTTTTTTTTTTAAAGGGGCCCGGTCGCGATATACCTCAGCACTAACCGGGCCCCTGAAGATACAGGGCCCATCAGGTGGCCCTAAGTGGATGGGCCACCCGATGGGCCCCAACAGTGTGCGGGCCCCGGTGCAAGTGTACCGGCAGCAGTTCCTCCGCTACACGTGGGGCCCAGGTGGCTGGGCCCCCCAGGGCCGCCGGGCCCATGACAACCATTATGGTTGTCACCCTCTGATGACGGCCCTGCTGACACGCCTTCCATACAACCCTATTCGTGTACAGATTGTCAGAGGTCTGGAATTGCCATGGAAGGTTATTGTGTTCTAACCACGCCCATAGGGCTATCCTGTGACATAGAACAAGCGACATCTCCCAGACATCTATCATAACACGTGAGATGTGACACAACTTGTGTTCGGAGGTTGAGGCCTGCCTCCTGTGTTTGTGCATGTGCGTGTTCAGGCGGCCATGATTCAGAGGTGCAGTCAGAGCAGAACAACATAAAATAGTGCATAGGTGTCTCCTCAATTACCAAAAACTAAGAAAGTACACAATCAAAAACACATACTTCCATGATAATATTTTCTTTTGTGTTTTTTTTATTTTGTTCTATTATAATACTTAAATTTTAGTTAACCCTTTAACGCCAGTATGGCATTCTATGCGGCAACATTTTAACAGGCTTAAAAGCTGCTCAAGCGACATAGAATGCCGTAACAGCTTTAAGCCCCTGTAGGTCTGGGAGACCCTGTAGGTCTGGGATACTCCCCTACCTAACGATCCTCTACGGAGGGACTGCCTTTAGTTTTGGAGAGTTTTCCTCTCTTCCACAGGTTTGAAGCAATGCTGATCAATATGATAGAGTTTAACACTTAAAACAACTGATGTTAGAAAAGGAAGTGGAGTGGAGGGGTTAGTGGGGTGTCATAAATAGCAGAAGATGTGGCTGAAAGTGAAAGGTGCAGATTGGCTGAGAATAGCCAGAAAAAGTAAATAAAGAGTCAATAAGCTAGTAAAAAAAAAAAAACAACAACAAAAAAAAAACAGCACAGCAGGGCATGCAAATATATAGCTGAATATATGTGTGTATATAATTTATATATATATATATATATATATATAAATATATATAAATTAATCAAATAAAGGTGAAGCAGGTCCCCCTCCCGCTCTGGGGCTCTGGGGAGATGAGGGGTTAAAATCTTACCTTTCTCCAGCGCCGGGCGGGGAGCTTTCCTCCTCCTCTCCTTCTTTCTAGTGACGTCATCGGCTGAATGCGCATGCGCGGCAGGAGCCGTGCGCGCATTCAGCCAGTCTCATAGGAAAGCATTCATAATGCTTTCCTATGGACGCTGGCGTTTTCTCACTGTGATTTTCACAGTGAGAAGCACACAAGCGCCTCTAGCGGCTGTCAGTGAGACAGCCACTAGAGGCTTTAGAGGCTGGATTAACCCTCAGTGTAAACATAGCAGTTTCTCTGAAACTGCTTTGTTTATAAAAAAAAAAAAAAAAGGGTTAATCCTATCTGGACCTGGCACCCAGACCACTTCATTAAGCTGAAGTGGTCTGGGTGCCTATAGTGGTCATTTAAGGCCAGTTTCTCTAATGTAACAACCTTTGTCACACACCGTACACTGTATAATGTACACCACATTCTCAGATGTGCACAAATATGATCCCACATTTTGTTATTTTGTCTGGCTGTGTTATTGCCGCATGTCTGTTGACACAGTTTGCAGAGTAATTTTCTTGCATCGTCCAGTGCCATTCTGTGTGAGCTCTTGTTCTGTGGTCAGTTTGCTGCAGACCAATCTTTGTCTCAGGTTAGTTGGTTGTTTGTATGCTCGTATGGGGGGCTCAGGAAATATCTCTTTGAGTGTGGGGTCCTCTGAAATTAACAGCTGTAGCTCTTTAATAATGTTATGTACTCCTTCTAGAGTTTGGTTGTATGTAACTACTAGAGAGATTCTTGTCATCTTGTCCTTTTCTTTGTATCATAGGAGCCTTTTCCGTGGAGTATTTTATGACGCCCCATTAACCCTCCCTCCCTTCACTCCCCCTCTCTAACATCAGTTGTTTTAAGTGTTAAACTCTGTCAGATTGATCAGTATTGCTTCAGACCTGAGGAAGAGAGGAAAGCTCTTGAAAGCTTGTCTATGAAATATTATGTTAGTCCAATAAAAAAGGTATCATTGCATACTGCAATACTCTGATATTTTGGAATTTTGGCATCATATATATATATATTCATACTTAGTGTATTTTTATATCAATATATAAATAATAATAAATAAAAACTATGTATATATATATATATATATATATATATATATAAAACACAAGATCCAGCGCACTCACCTATCCACTAAACAGCAACTTCAATGTTGAAAGATTTTATAAGTTTTTTTTAAAAACACCTAATCTAGGCAAAAATAATGGGGGTTTAGTTACATTATATGATCATACATTGCATAAGCCTGCCACAACGTCAATGTACCCCATCTTTGGCAGGTCCTACACTAACAGCCTAATGTCTGCTCTTATGAGATTAACCACTTACTTGAGGAAAAAATTCCATCTGGGGCTCTCTGCAGTACAAGGCTAAATAGGGCCCTGGGATGAGGCACCTGTGACAGGGAGGGGTGCAAAACCAAGGAGTTGGCTAGACTCCCAAATATATACATATGAAACAAGGGGGGGTTGGCTGCACTCACCTAAACATGCATTAATGGGGGTGCTGCTGGGGGCCAAATAATACAAAACACAAGATCCAGCGCACTCACCTATCCACTAAACAGCAACTTCAATGTTGAAAGATTTTACTAATAAAATCTTTCAACATTGAAGTTGCTGTTTCTTTCAACATTGAAGTGTTTGTTTCGTGGTTAAGAAAACGTCTAGTGCTTTTACTGGGTACCAATTGTTACCCGTGGGGTAGTAGTTTATGTGAACTGGTTCCCCCATCTGACTGTCTTAGTCTTAGGTAGAGACAGGACGTAGTAGTCTGTGTGTTTCGTGAGATGTGACGTGAAGAGGCACCCTTGGTTATACAATTGGCCACTAACGGTGAATTCTCGTGGTCTAAGAAACCCGTAAAAGGCCAGATACATGGCGGCTTTAATAACCGTGTTTGTATTGGGTTCAAAAGGTGCCTGGTCGAGTAGTTTGGATAAGGATTTGAACATTTCTATGTCAATAGCCAATCTTTTGAGCGTTGCTGGACCGTCTGCCTTTGCTATACCCTTCAGTAGCATGCGGATGGGGTATGAGGTTAAGAATAGTGATGTACCGAACGGTTCGCCGGCGAACGGTTCCTGGCGAACATAGCATGTTCGCGTTCGCCACAGCGGGCGAACATATGCGCGGTTCGACCCGCCCCCTATTCGTCATCATTGAGTAAACTTTGACCCTGTACCTCACAGTCAGCAGACACATTCCAGCCAATTAGCAGCACAGCCTCCCTAGCAGACCCTCCCACCTACTGGACAGCATCCATTTTAGATTCATTCTCAAGCTGCATGCTTAGTAAGAGGAGGGAAAGTGTAGCTGCTGTTCATAAGATAGGGAAAAGCATAGCTAGGTTAGGGATAAGGGTATGCTTTTTTTGGATTTTTTTTTTCTATCTAATGTAAATGCACTTAGTTGTCTGCCACTGCTGCCAGCTTCTGTGTCAGGCTCACAGTGCCCATTTCCCCAGTCAGTGCCACCAATTACATCTGGTGTCACAATAGCTTGGATTTAAAAACAAAAAACTTTTTTCACTGTTATAGATTGAATAGCAGTCAGTTGTCTGCCACTGCTGCCAGCTTCTGTGTCAGGCTCACAGTGCATACTGTGCCCATTTCCCCAGTCAGTGCCACCAATTACATCTGGTGTCACAATAGCTTGGATTTAAAAACAAAAAACTTTTTCACTGTTATAGATTGAATAGCAGTCAGTTGTCTGCCACTGCTGCCAGCTTCTGTGTCAGGCTCACAGTGCATACTGTGCCCATTTCCCCAGTCAGTGCCACCAATTACATCTGGTGTCACAATAGCTTGGATTTAAAAACAAAAAACTTTTTTTACTGTTATAGATTGAATAGCAGTCAGTGTCCTTAAAGCGGGTGTGTTACGCTAACAGTGGTTATGCTGACAAGTGCCACTAATTAGATCTGGTGTCACAATAGTTTGGATTTAAAAAAAAAATAATCTTTTTTCACTGTTATAGATTGAATAGCAGTCAGTGTCCTTAAAGCGGGTGTGTTACGCTAACAGTGGATACGCTGACCAGTGCCACCAATTAGATCTGGTGTCACAAAGCTTGGATTTAAAAAAACAAAACACTTTTTCACTGTTATAGATTGAATAGCAGTCAGTGTCCTTAAAGCGGGTGTGTTACGCTAACAGTGGATACGCTGACCAGTGCCACTAATTAGATCCTGTGTCACAATAGCTTGGATTTAAAAACAAAAAACTTTTTTACTGTTATAGATTGAATAGCAGTCAGTGTCCTTAAAGCGGGTGTGTTACGCTAACAGTGGATACGCTGACAAGTGCCACTAATTAGATCTGGTGTCACAATAGTTTGGATTTAAAAAAAAAATAATCTTTTTTCACTGTTATAGATTGAATAGCAGTCAGTGTCCTTAAAGCGGGTGTGTTACGCTAACAGTGGATACGCTGACAAGTGCCACTAATTAGATCTGGTGTCACAATAGCTTGGATTTAAAAACAAAAAACTTTTTTACTGTTATAGATTGAATAGCAGTCAGTGTCCTTAAAGCGGGTGTGTTACGCTAACAGTGGATACGTGACAAGTGCCACTAATTAGATCTGGTGTCACAATAGCTTGGATTTAAAAAAAAAAAACACTTTTTTCACTGTTATAGATTGAATAGCAGTCAGTGTCCTTAAAGCGGGTGTGTTACGCTAACAGTGGATACGGTGACCATTGCCACCACTTAGATCTGGTGACACAAAGCTTGTATTTAAAAAAAAACAAAACTCTTTTTTCACTGTTATAGATTGAATAGCAGTCAGTGTCCTTAAAGCGGGTGTGTTACGCTAACAGTGGATACGCTGACCAGTGCCACTAATTAGATCTGGTGTCACAATAGCTTGGATTTAAAAAAAAAATAATCTTTTTCCACTGTTATAGATTGAATAGCAGTCAGTGTCCTTAAAGCGGGTGTGTTACGCTAACAGTGGATACGCTGACAAGTGCCACTAATTAGATCTGGTGTCACAATAGTTTGGATTTAAAAAAAAAATAATCTTTTTTCACTGTTATAGATTGAATAGCAGTCAGTGTCCTTAAAGCGGGTGTGTTACGCTAACAGTGGATACGCTGACAAGTGCCACTAATTAGATCTGGTGTCACAATGGTTTGGATTTAAAAACAAAAAACTTTTTTTACTGTTATAGATTGAATAGCAGTCAGTGTCCTTAAAGCGGGTGTGTTACGCTAACAGTGGATACGCTGACAAGTGCTACTAATTAGATCCTGTGTCACAATAGTTTGGATTTAAAAAAAAAATAATCTTTTTTCACTGTTATAGATTGAATAGCAGTCAGTGTCCTTAAAGCGGGTGTGTTACGCTAACAGTGGATACGCTGACAAGTGCCACTAATTAGATCTGGTGTCACAATAGCTTGGATTTAAAAACAAAAAACTTTTTTTACTGTTATAGATTGAATAGCAGTCAGTGTCCTTAAAGCGGGTGTGTTACGCTAACAGTGGATAAGCTGACAAGTGCCACTAATTAGATCCTGTGTCACAATAGCTTGGATTTAAAAACAAAAAACTTTTTTCACTGTTATAGATTGAATAGCAGTCAGTGTCCTTAAAGCGGGTGTGTTACGCTAACAGTGGATACGGTGACCAGTGCCACCGCTCACTGGTGTCATAATAGCTTGCATTTAAAAACAAAAAAATTTTTTCACTGTTATAGATTGAATGGCAGTCAGTGTCCTTAAAGCGGGTGTGTTACGCTAACAGTGGATACGCTGACAAGTGCCACTAATTAGATCCTGTGTCACAATAGTTGGATTTAAAAAAAATAATAATCTTTTTTCACTGTTATAGATTGAATAGCAGTCAGTGTCCTTAAAGCGGGTGTGTTACGCTAACAGTGGATACGCTGACAAGTGCCACTAATTAGATCTGGTGTCACAATAGTTTGGATTTAAAAAAAAAAATAATCTTTTTTCACTGTTATAGATTGAATAGCGGTCAGTGTCCTTAAAGCGGGTGTGTTACGCTAACAGTGGATACGCTGACAAGTGCCACTAATTAGATCTGGTGTCACAATAGCTTGGATTTAAAAACAAAAAACTTTTTTTTACTGTTATAGATTGAATAGCAGTCAGTGTCCTTAAAGCGGGTGTGTTACGCTAACAGTGGATACGCTGACAAGTGCCACTAATTAGATCTGGTGTCACAATAGTTTGGATTTTAAAAAAAAATAATCTTTTTTTACTGTTATAGATTGAATAGCAGTCAGTGTCCTTAAAGCGGGTGTGTTACGC